CTGCAAAGTGCTGATAGTCATTCATAGTTTGATTCATTTGTTTAGGTGTCTATAAGAGGGAGGGGATAATTGCTGCACGGTATGATTTTTTTATTTTTACTTGTTGTAGATAGGGTCGTAGGTTTTAGGGTCGTGGTAACGTAATCACGTCGATAGGTGCATAAAATGCGTACATTAAAAAAAATGAAGACAGTTATTCTAATTAATAGAATATGTGCCTGTGGGGTTCGACGCTGCAAGGTAACAGAGACCGGAAAATAAGTTTTAATTAGTTGTTTTTTTAAAGTGTTTTACGGCGCTTGCAACTACATAAGGTCTTATGAGCGTGCGGGACACAATTAAGGCTTACACACATTAACCTATCCGTATGCCTGGGGTCATTTTGTACCCCAGGCCCCAGGGACTGTATTCTTCACATTTACGAATACTTCTTGTGCGAAGATCTCTTTGAAACTTTCAGTATTTCTCAAAAAATCATTTTGACAGACTGCTATGCAAAGCGTACGGGCGATAGGATTAACAAGTACATTTCCTCTTTGGAGAGTGGTGGCAAAGAGGTTCAAATGATCGTAAGGATACGATAGTAAACATTTTCAGTTGGTAGGACATTTTGCATTTTGCCCGGATGCCGGCCGAAGCCTACTTGTATCGATTTTGGACCAACAAGGGATCTTTAACGAGTGCAACTTGCACAGGGGACCTCCGAGATTTTTAGACCTTGTCTCGAGAAGGCTATGGCATAGATCTTTCCTACCTTAAGATCAGGGGTGTTGCTGAAAGACAGCAGTAACAAGGAGTCAAGGAGTAGCAGTAGAAAGGCTGCAGAAAGAGTCAGGAGCCCAGGGGAGGGGGCAAAGGGGGATGGGAGCAAAAAGTGGAGACGAAAGCAGACGCGGACAGAACATGGTTACAGAGCAGGAAAGGATGTGAAATTACACCCTTTTAGAAAAGAAAATAGATAGATAGATAGATAGATAGATAGATAGATAGATAGATAGATAGATAGATAGATGGAGAGACATGCAGATAGATAGATAGATAGATAGATAGATAGATAGATAGATAGATAGATAGATAGATAGATAGATAGATAGATAGATAGACAGACATGCAGATAGATAGATAGATAGATAGATAGATAGATAGATAGATAGATAGATAGATAGATAGATAGATAGATGGATAGATTGATAGATAGACAGACATGCAGATAGATAGATAGATAGATAGATAGATAGATAGATAGATAGATAGATAGATAGATAAATAGATAGATAGATAGATAGATAGATGGAGAGAGGGAGAGAGAGAGAGAGCGAGAGAGAGAGAGAGAGAGAGAGAGAGAGAGAGAGAGAGAGAGAGAGAGAGAGAGAGAGAGAGATCCAAAAGGAGAAAATATAAATACGTCTATAGAGAGCAGCAAATTCTAGTTGTAATCTTATTAACAAAGGTGAAAAGATCAAACGAGTTCAACAGTTTAAATATCTAGGTTACACGATAACGTCTGATACCAAATGTTTCACAGAAATAAAACAGAGAATTGCAATGGCCAAGGCTGGTTTCAATAAAATGAGCCCAATCCTGAAAAATAGAAACATCTCAATGCCCATCAAAATGAAAGTTCCGAAATGCTGTGCATTATCAACCCTTCTATATATGGCTGTGAATGCTGGACAATCACTAAATACAGTGACAATAAAATAGTAGCAACAGAAATGTGGTTTCTTAGGAGACTGGTAAGAGTATCGTGGAAGGAAAATAAATCAAATGAGGTAGTGCTTGATGAAGCCCACGTGGGACGCTCAAAGTTAAAAACAATCAGGAAACGACTAATGCAGTTTTTGGGTCACCTGAATAGACATTAAAGGGTCTTGAAGATCTAGCTCTCACTGGCAAAATTTTAATTGAAGGCAAACGAGGCAGGGGTAGGCCCAGATTTCGAACAATCTACTTGGGGAACCTATACAAATGGGTAACAGGGAAAGATCAGGGAAACGTAGCTTTTTTTTAGAGCTTCCCAGCAAAGGAATGAATGGAAAACCATGATCGCCGATGTCTGTCGCAGATCTGGCACTGGATGATGATGATTATAATGATTCTGAGAGAGAATCAGATGAAATTAGGGGTATACCAGATGCTGGGTTGGGGTAAGGATCTCTCTAAAGATGTGGAATATTGTGGAAAGACACCAAGTTCCATTTTTGAATTCCGAACATTTGTTTCTTGGAGTAAAATAGGGAATACCCTGAATGTTCGACAAAAGTGTGCTTTCCCGTGCGGTTTGTAGGACAATAATATTATAACAATGTGTATTTAATTTGTTGAATTGTTGAGCCGGAACTGTACCACAAAAAGAGGAGACCTATCCGTAGAAATCGCGTCATGGTTACCACGTGATGCCCTTCTCGTTCATGGCGAGAGTACTCGGACATCATGGCGACGTTCGCTAAATTCAATGACCAACTGAAAGATATAACGGAGGGTTGGTCGAAGTGGCAGATCGCTGCTTGTGTAGGAGCACCGATTGCACTGGGCCTTGCTGGCTTATGGTATTACAATCGGAGCAAGTCTTCAAACAAGGCGTCGCTTGATCTATCAGGCGGCGACCTCACAACAAAAGGGGATCATGCCGAATCGAAGACAAAATCCAAGAATGCACAGAAAGTGAAACCACCCCAGGCACAGGTAGATCTAGATTTCTTGCACGACTAAATCTAAGGCTCGAAATCATTATGAGCCTATTTCTCACAGCCAATGCTGCGTCATTCACCTGTAGATCTAGTAGATCTATGCACTGCTGTGTGTACATAGATTTAATAATCAAGCATCCCAAGTCAAGTAGGCTGGCCTACTGTTTTTGTTTTTTTCACCTTGAACTTGAAACTGTCTTGAGTTGAAGTTGTTGTTACACACACGAATCTGCAGTTAGCACCTGCCTCAAGCACACCTCTGTGGGGAGGACTTCCATAAGGAGGGACCACTATGAGATAGAACAGAATTGAGGGCTAGGGGTAGGGGTAGATCTAGGGGTAGGGTTAGGCCTCTTCTGTATTGTGTTTGATGGGGTGGTCGCTCGTTACGGAAGTCCTTCCCCTCTGTGATTGGCTCAAACATAGATGACGTAGATATCTATTTCTGCCATCTATTTTTGTCGTCTTCCTGGGTTTCCCCCAAGACTTTTGGGTTTCCCTCGCCAGTAGCCTTATAATACAGACCCGGTACGTGAAATCTTTTGTGATTTCGGAAAGTTTCAGCACCCTCTTGGCTGAGGGTAGACAGATCTAGGTTCTTCTAGGCCTTGATCTCTATGATCTAGATCTAGATTAGATCTAGACAGACAGACATAATTGATTGATCTAGATTTAGATCTAAAATCTAGATCTAGATCTAGACTCTAGTTTCGAGGCCTTGATTCTATATCCTAGAGTTTAGATCTAGTTTAGATCTTGCTACTATATTAGATCTAGATCTAGATCTAGATGGGCAAGACTTGGATTCTAAATGAAGACTGCGGATGTCTTTTCGATGAACAGTCGTTTCCATTAGATTTTTTTTTACAGTATAATGGCACAGTGTAAAATGTTCACCTGTCTAAGGCAGCTATTTTTCTCTTAATATGGGTGGGCATCTTAGACAATTTCTTACTGGATCGATGACAAGACAATTTCCACTATATTTCCAGATTTCTGGATTGTTTTTTTAGTTTAGAAGTATCACAGTAAAAAATCATACCTGCACATTAATATAGTGAAGTGGAACGTTTAAATTCCTTCCTTTCTCTATATTATAATTATATCCCCTCCTTTTTTTTTTTCGTTCAAGGGTCGCCAAGAGCTGGCTCAACTGGCTAAAACCAAGGGCAACAAATGTTTCAAGGAAGGCAAGTATGAGGAGGCCATTGCCTGCTACACAGAGGCCATCAAGACCTGCCCACCGGACATCAAGGCGGACATGTCTACATTCTACCAGAACCGAGCGGCAGCCTTCGAGAACTTGGTGGGTTTTTTTCTAGATTTTTTCCCCCCTGGCTAGATCATTGGTTTTGATGATACACTTGTTTTCTTTGTTGGTTGTGTTACGGTTGTTAAATGTGACCGTTGGGTCTTACTGTCTTATGTCCAGTTTGTTGCATCTGTGGTGTAGGGGTTTATAAAAGCGCTTCACCTTGGCAGACAGAGGACCCGAGTTCAATTCCTGTGTGGGAAGAATTTTTATAGAAAATTTATGTTGATCTACTGGCATGTTGTATCTGTCTCTGTCTGAATTGGGGTATATTGATGGGGCATCGAAGCACACCTCTTGTCAATTGGGGCATAAAACACCTATGTAAAAAAAGAAAAAAATTGGCATGTAGCAAATTTTTGTGTGTGGAATGTTTGAAACTTTTGGTAAATATTGATCAGAATGGAAAGATGTAATGAAACACGGAAAGATCTGTATTTAGACTTCATTTAACGCTTCCCAGGAAGTTGTTTCAGAATGCTAGATATCAGGTCTGCTGGGGTTAATATAGATTGTAAAGCTCATAGAGCTTGCTGTTGAGCGGGAATTTTTGCTATAGATACAAATGCCATCAATTATTAGTTATTATTTTTGATAAAGTAAGACAGGTTCTTAAATGCAATTCTCTTATAGAGGTGTTTCATAATAATAATAATAATAATAATAATAGCATTTGTGTAGCGCATATCCCGCTCAACTGCAGGCTCTAGGCGCTTTACACTATATTATTACCCCAGCAGACCATAGAACACTCTGAAACATTCTCAGCTTCCCGAGAAGCATACAGTACGAGCAGCTGATTAAGCGCTCAAACACTAACGAACTGACAAGATCTTTAGCTGTCTATAGCCGGGTACCCATTCCCACCTGGGTGAAGTGAGGAAAATTCGTTTAAAGTGCCTTTCCCAAGGACATAACGTCGGGCCCCTGACGGGATTCGAACCCACGACCTTACGGTTGCGAGTCCGAGAGCCTTACCGCTAGGCCACCGACGCCACATGAATTTTTTGTTTCTTTTTATTTACAGAAAAAATTTCCAGAGGTTGTTGAAGACTGTGATTCTGCGCTTGAGCTCAACCCCAGATATTCCAAAGCCTTAGCTCGCAGGTCCAAGGCGAGAGAGCAGCTTCAGAAGTACAGAGAGTCCTTGGAAGGTCAGTTATTTTTGACTGGTGCCTTTATTGAGAACATCCCAAACTACCCAAATGCGTGTCAAAGCGTTCGTCTTTTTGTAAATTCGTGTGTGAACCGACAGCGTACGTTGGGGTGTGACTGTGCAGTCATACGTTTATGTAACATTTAGTACGTTTTTGAGGGTCTGAGCATGGAAGCTCGTTTCTGTGATGGAAAATATGTATTCTTTGCTTTCTAGTATTGCTTGTCCTGAACTTACAGAGGCGGAAGAAAAGTTATGAATTTTCAAGAGTGGATTCGTCAATAATTATGAGAACGGAGTCTGTTAGTCGACTGGAGTTGACCTTTTCTGACCTACTGTGTTGCAAGTGCCGTAAAACTCTTGACCCCCCCAAAATAAAACAAAAGAAACTCAGCTTAGAAAATACTGAACTCACCAGCAAATGTCTTGTGTCATTTGTGAAGTTTTTGCTCGTGTTATGTCCTCAGATATCACCAAAGCTTGTTTGATCGAAGGCTTCCAGAACCAGACCTACCTCCAGGCGGCCGACCGCGTGCTCAAGACGCTGGGCAAGTCGAAAGCTGCCACCGAGTACAAGGTACGGGCTGGTGGCTCCCCCTGTGGGTTATACCCAGAGGTCTGGGGGCGGAGTGGTAGACACTGTCAGTCAGTGGCAGGAATGTTTGTTGCTGCTGTTTTGGTTTATGTCTTTAGTACTTTCCGTTTTTGATTGCTGCAGTGTTTCTTGTGTCTGATCCTATATCTTAAAGACGGTCTGTGTTGAGGTTTTCGAGGCTACATCTGTTAAAAATTTGTTAAAAAGTTTTTTTTCTTTGTGTTCTTTGTCTCGTCTCTGGTGGTAGGTGGTTGAAGAGCACCACTGGTAGGTCCTAGTCCGTTTCTTTTCCTCTGTCTGTCTGTCTGTCTGTCTGTCTGTCTGTCTGTCTGTCTGTCTGTCTGTCTGTCGTGTCTGTCTGTCTGTCTGTCTGTCTGTCTGTCTGTCTGTCTGTCTTTTCCTCAGCACTAAATAATCTTTTTTGTGTGGATATGCTTCTCTTTATTCAAACATACTGTAGACCTGCATGTTTGCCGACAATCGTCTGAAATCCGACAATCGCGACCCGACCCGCGAGCCAGCCGATGCTATCGCAAGGCTCACCTGTACTAGTCAATGTGCGAAGTCCGAGGCCTGGCTGACTGCCAGCGCCCCCTTTTTCTCCCGTCGGCTTTGTCGGCACTTTCGTTTTCGTGCCGACTGCCGACGTCGGCGTTTCCGACATAAATGTTGAAACCTGAGTAGAAATGCGAATACGAAAAAGGACGACGACCTAAATTATCTACTTTCAGTTTCGTGCTCGAGCGGCCATTTTGAATTTCGTTTGTTGACTGATTGTTAAGATCATGAACTTCCTTTTTTGGCCTAGGGTTAGGGTTAGGTCTCTTCTTTATTGTTTGTTGGGATGGTCACTCGTTACGAGGTAGTACTTCCTTTTATGACACCCACAAAAGCTCTTATTGGGGAGGGGAGGGGGAGGGGCGCGCAAAATTTTCAGACAATCTGGTTGAGGCTCACATGCAGGTCTAATACTGTTTAATCTGTCCCGACACTAAATGAAGATAATTTTTTTGTATTGATGTAGGCGTACTTTTAAAAATTTTATTTTTTTTACTGATAGAGAAAAAGACTGAAGTGTTAAGGAAAGCAACTGTTGTTTAATATTATTTTCTTTTGGTGTGTCTCAGGTGAAAAAACCAACCAACCCCTCGACATTCTATGTAGAGAACTACCTGGCAGGCTTCGTCAACGACCCCGTGGCCTTGGGTTTTCCCGTCGTGGATCAGGACAACCTGAAGGAGATGGGGATCACGGTCAAGGAGAACATCGGGGAGAACGGCGCTGTGCTGCTGGAGAAACCTGGGTAAGTCTTCGGTTGGTCGGGTGCTTCGGCGTACGCTGCTGCACAGCGCTGAACCGGCAAACAAGGGGTCCCTTCTCTTGCGGTACTATGGACAGTCGGGCACTAATGGCCCAACTCTAAAGCTTTCTGATGCCGGATTTTTGAACATGTTGTAGAACAGAATCACCAACGCAGTGGGGCAATACGAAGATCTATTGACCACAGTAAAGAGACGAAAACTAAAATGGTATGGGCATGTCACAAGATCCACAGGAGTTGCCAAAACAATCCTGCAACGAACCGTACAAGGAAAGAGAAAGAGAGGAAGACAGAGAAGGAGATGGGAGGACAACATTACAGAGTGGACAGGAAAGACGATGGGTGACAATCTGAGGAGAGCAGAGGACAAAAATAAATGGCGAGAGCTGGTTTTCAAATGCAGTGGTGCCCCAACAGTTGCCCTAACCACGCGATAGAAGAAGAAAAAGAAGAAGAAGAAGAAGAAGAAGAAGAAGAGGATCAAATGCATCATCTGAGTGAAAAGTAAAGGAAACTTGAAGAAATAGAGAAATGTTTTTTGAGCGTCGACTTTGACTTACAATTAAAGTAGTCTTTCATATGTTTATTAAACAGGTTTTTTTTGCCTTTTCTTTGAAAAATGCTTTTTGAAAGATGGCCCATCTGTGCCCGACACCATCAACGTCCTGTGATCCTCACTGCTTTAGTGCATGTACATAAGGATAGCAATGGAAAAGGAATACGGGAATACACTTCAGTGTGCACCTAACACTATGCTGCGTGTCCCAAGTGACCGAAGTGGTATTGATGTCGAAGGTGTACCTTAAATGAAAAAATATTGTTGTTATTGATATTTTTATTCATAATGTCCTCAGAGCGTTTGAACGAGCCGACATTATTATTTATATTGTTATTATTATTGTTATTCTATTATTGTTATTGATATTTTTATTCATAATGTCCTCAGAGCGTTTGAACGAGCCAAGGCGTGCCTGTCCAGCAAGGAGTACGACCAGGTTGTGTCGCTGTGCGACGAGGAGCTGTCGGACGAGAGTAGCTCCTCCTATGTGTCGCAGGCGCTGCTGCTCCGCGGCACCATGAGGCTCCTGCAGGGCATGGGGGACGCCGCCTTCGCCGACCTTGACAGGCTCGGGGGGATGGAGGGTGTCTCTCCGTCTGTGAGTAGTACCGGAAGAATTTGGTTGGCGGGTGGGTGCTTTCTTATCTGGTGTGGTTTTCTCCTTCTTTCCTTTCAAACGTCTATCGTCCTTATCTCTCCTCCTTCTTTCCTTTCAAACGTCTATCGTCCTTATCTCTCCTCCTTCTTTCCTATCAAACGTCTATCGTCCTTATCTCTCCTCCTTCTTTCCTATCAAACGTCTATCGTCCTTATCTCTCCTCCTTCTTTCCTATCAAACGTCTATCGTCCTTATCTCTTTTCCTTCTTTTCTTTGCATGTTGATGCTCTCTTGTAACACCTCTGGTCTTTGACACTTTTAGAACCTAGTTGTGTTGCAAGTGCAGTGAAACTCTTACCAAAACTAAACTAATCGTTTGATTTTTGCTTCCTTTTCCTCAGCGCTACGTGACCATTTAGGTGTACATGTGCCCTTTTTTCTTTTTTCTCCTACTCAAATCTTCTGTAAAGGGGTTAGTGTTGCGGGTGGTTGGAGGGCACCGCTGGTAGATCTTTGTTGTCTTTCCCCTCATACATTTCTGTCTATCTGTCTTTCTTCTTCTCTGCGCTATGTCGATGTGGCTGCTACTTTGTCGATGTGGTTCTCTTTACTCAAAACTCAATACTCATGGGTTATTTAAAAGAAAAATTTTAATTACATTTTTTTTTTTTCATTTATCTTTAGCTTTTTTCCCCCTTCTTTATCCGTAGCTACAAGCCTCTGCACTCATCCGAGCCGGCTCCCTACAGATGCAGAAAGACGCGAGCGAGAATGCGTTGTCGTATTTTGAAAAGGCAGAGTCTGTGGACCCCAAGAACTCTGATGTCTTCCATCACTTTGGCCAGGTGAGGGAGTCAACCTGTCCTGTCTGTTTCAACGCTGGCTTGATTATTAGTTTGTTTGTGCAAGTGAGCTGTGCGTAAGACATTGTGTCTTTGTCTCTTGTGACTTGCAACATGTTTGTTTGTTTGTTTGTTTGTTTGTTAGTTTGTTTGTGCAAAGGAGTTGTGCACACCCCCCGGGGCAGTACCGCTGACTGTAGTGTCTTTAGGCCATTCCCAAAGGGTGGACATATCTCGTTCAAGCACAGTAGAATTGTAAATGGGCTGATTCATCATGTCACGCTCATAACTGTGCCTGATCTACAACAGGGAACTGCTGCTTCTTCTTTCCTGATCCTTACTATCGTCATTTTCCTCTACTTCTTTTGTATGTTTGTCACACTCTTGTGACCTGCTGTTTCCGGGGCGCCTTGATAGTCGAAGCAGACCTTGTGCTGTTGAAGCTAGAGAGGTGAGCAGAGTAAGTCTGATTCCCTGTAAAGACTTCTCTGTTGACACCCACCCCTTGGCGCTCATATGACCTTATGCAGTTGCGAGCGCCTAAGCAGTGGTTAGGCCCTTCACTGTCACTCATAAGAGACTAGAATTCAACACTCTAGTGGGGAGAACTTTTTATTGAGGATCCCGGTTCTCTCTCTTTTGTTTTTTTTCTGCGACCTTGTGACCATCTCAGCCTAGATTTTCTCGCTTAGGCAAGATCAGAAACCCGCCCAACTCCTCGGGGCGGTGCCACTGACTGTAGTGTCTTTAGACTTTAGGCCATTCCCAAATGGGGGACATTTCTCATTCAAGCACAGTAGAATTGTAAATGGGCTGATTCATCATGTCACGCTCATAACTGTGCCTGATCTACAAGAGGGAACTGCTGCTTCTTCTTTCCTGATCCTTACTATCGTCATTTATTCTCTACTTCTTCTTTTGTATGTTTGTCACACTCTTGTGACTGGTTATTTCCGGGGTGCCTTGATAGTCGAAGCAGACCTTGTGCTGTTGAAGCTAGAGAGGTGAGCAGTCTAAGTCTGATTCCCTGTAAAGACTTCGCTGTTGACACCCACCCCTTGGCGCTCACATGACCTTATGCAGTTGCGAGTGTCGTAAAACCCTCTACAAAAAAACACAAAAAAAACCAACAAAAAAAAAACCGCCCCGTAAAAGTTGTAGATTGTGTTGATGGGGATGTGAAAACACCCGCGACCAATAACTTGGCTAAATGGTCGTGTGGATTTATTTCTCTTTACTTGAAACTACCAAACTAACAAGTCTTGTGTTTTCTTTTGGTTCTCAGCAATTGCTGCAGCTGGAAAAGTTGGACGAGGCCATCAAAAAGTTTGACACGAGCATCGAGCTCTCCCCAGATTTCCCCACCTCCTACGTCCAGAAGTATTATGCAGGTGAGGGCTTTTGTCTGAAAATATTGTGTGTGATCACTAGTATTGTTTAGGTGTGTACGTGTGTGTGTGTGTGTGTGTCCTAAAATATTGTGTGTGATCACTAGTATTGTTTAGGTGTGTACGTGTGTGTGTGTGTGTGTGTGTGTGTGTGTCCTAAAATATTGTGTGTGATCACTAGTATTGTTTAGGTGTGTACGTGTGTGTGTGTGTGTGTGTGTGTGTGTGTGTGTCCTAAAATATTGTGTGTAATCACTAGTATTGTTTAGGTGTGTACATGTGCGTGTGTGTGTCCTAAAATATTGTTTAGTGGGTGGTTGGCGGGTGCTCTGGTGGGGTTTGCTTCTTCTTTCCTATCCAACATCTATCGTCCTTATCTCCCCCCTTCTTTTTAAAAAAATGTTTGTTACTCTCTTGTAACACCTCTAATCTTCTGGCGCTCATATGACCTTATGCAGTTGTGAGCGCCGTTAAAATCTCTACTAAAACTAACTAAAAAAACCCACTCTGTGTAGGTGTGTGTGTGTCTAAAAGTATTGGCGTGCCCAAAAGCATAGTGTGTATGAATATGTGTCTCTTACTACAAATATTGCGTAGATGAGTGTGTTTGTCCAAAAGTATTGTGCAGGTCAGTGTGTGTCCAGAAGTGGGTGGTTGGAGGGTGCTCTGGTAGGGTTTGCTTCTTCTTTCCTTTCTAACATCTATCGTCATTATCTCCCCTCCTTTTTTGTGTTTGTTACTCTCTTGTAACACTTCTAATTTTCGGCATTAATATGACCTTGTTGTGTTGCGAGTGCCGTAAAACTCTTAGTAAAAC